TTTTCTTTAAGGCGACAAACCCCTAGAAACCAGGATTTTTTGAGGCAAATTTTTGTTTCGTAGTATTTTCCATAACATCCCGCCATCTTGTATCTATCACTCTTGGCTAAGATACAATTAAAAATGCCGAAAATCAGCAGAAAGCCTAAGTCAATACAGTTAGTTGATGAAATTCATTCATTTTATTCGCGTATTATTTTTTCATTTATTTTGATTATGCTATCATACATTTTAGTATACAAATTTTGGCCCACTCGGCAACACTGAAGTTTACGAGGTGGTTTGCGCGTTAAATTTGCCTCGTAAATTTACGAGGTTTACGAATTTAAGGGAAGACCCTCGTGTTTTAAAAATAGTTCTTAAAACGCCAATTTTTTACCCATGTTTTTTATAGAGAATCAAATAAGGATTACGAGTGTAATTCTAAATCCCTAATTTACTGGTTTTCACTATTAAAATTTACTTCAAAATGGTCAAATAAGTTAGCTTTAGGACAATCATGACAATCTTATATATATAAATGTTAAGCCCGTTTCTTTAGCTTTAAAACGACGTTAAAGTGAAGTCTCTACGATGAGCAGAACCCGAGATATAACGATTTGGAGAAAGTACATAATCAGTCAGAATCACGAAAAAATCCCAACTTTGAAAGATCATATATCCGAAAAAAGGCCCTCGAATATGTGTTAGCTTATTTCATGTATAGAACCCATAAAAAAATTTTAAGCAAATCGAAAGTGCAACACTAAATTTGGTGTCGATATGAAAACAATGCCGCATATATTCACATAGTAAAAATTAATGCATATTTTATTCTAGTGAGATACAGCTATGAAATTTTTACACAACATAGAAGAAGAGGTAGCGGTAATTTCTGCATACTTAGCTGAATATTTGTATTTTTGGATTATGGCACTATTGAAGTAAATGGCCGATATGTACATATGTATATCACAACCAAATATGCGCCGTTTTGCGTCACTCACTTCCTCCATTCAAAAGTTACTTTCTTACTACAGGCATTCAAATGCAAGTCATAATTTTATACGCAGCAAATATTTAATGAATTAACACCGTGTTACAACATGTGTGTGCATACATATGTATGTATTCTTTTGGGGCTATCACATTTTCTGCGGCCGCTGTGGTTTAGTGTTTAGCAGTGCGCGCTTCCATTCCACAGGGTCTGGTTTCAAGCCCGATTCAAACCAAAATCAAAAAATAAAAAAAAATTAAAACAAAAAAAGGTTTTTTTTTTTCTAATAGCGCTCGCTCCTCTGCAGGCAATGGCAAACCTCCGAGTGTATTTCTGCCATGAAAAACAGCTTCTCATAAAAATACAAACGCCTTTCGGAGTCGGCGTAAAACTGTAGGTCCCTCCCCTTTGCGGACATCATCAAGGCGCACGCCATAAATCGGAGTAGAAACGTATCACTGAATAGAAACAGTTAGAGATAAAATACACTTGTGGTCCCGAAAACCTTACTTTCTTAATTTTGTAAATTAATAAAAAAAATCTTTTTTTTTTTAAATAGTTTACACTGAAAAAAAAAAACAATTTAAGCACAAGTTTCAAACTTTATGATTAAAGCTTTTAGGAAAATTTCGACTAATTTTGACTATTGAAATATCATGTCCTTAATTGGCCGCAGGCGCTCAATAGCCTAGCTACACCACTTTAACTAAACTTTTTTTTAATTCTAGGGTATAAATTAGACTGAATTCAAGAAAAGGTATCGTCGAAAACGATATAGCATAAAAAGAATATTGACACTATTCATAAATTTGATGGGCGGTAATAGTACAACAAATACATTTACCGCTGGTGGTTACATAGGTCCTGCTAGTGGAAGTAGCGGTGGCGGCGGAAGCAGTGGGGGCGCAGTTGGTGGTGATCTCATACCAAACATGAGTGCCGCTAGTGGTGCGTCGTATGCCTATGGCACTAGCTGGGAGGAGTTTTGCGAACGACATTCTCGTGTGGCTGCTGCGGACTTTGCCAAAGCCTGTATTGGTTACATAAATGGGAATCTTCCACCCGAAGAGGCGCGTAGTATTTCATACCGTTGTTTTGGGCAAAAGTTCGCCGAAGTGTTCGTGGATCATTTCGAAACGGAATTCTGCCTGAGGCGCAACAATCTATGGGTACACGCTTGAGTCATTGATTTTTATGTGTATATTTTTACTATAAAATAATAATTATTACAGACTGGTAATGGTAATTCATTGGAGGAGAGCGGTAGCGCAGCTGAAGAATCACCGAAAATATTTCACAAAGCGTTTTTTCGACGGCTTTCATTCAAGGGACTGCGCAAGGGCAAGGTGAGCAACAACTTGACCGAAACTAGCAAAAAAGCTCACAAAAATTATGTCTTACGTTAGAACAGTTCATGTTAAGTGTTTTAATTTTAGAATTTCTTATTCTTGCAGACACTATTTCATAAAAACTCTGAAGATTTAGATGGCAGCAAGCATAGCAAGACCAAGATCTCGAAAATAATTGTAGAATGCCGAAAGGAAGGTTACGTCTATAATTTGACGCCCGAAAGTTTAGATCAGCCGACGGGTACACAAAAATGGGAAAAATGTCGGCTTGCTTTGGTCAAAGCCGTCGGCGGTTACATGCTGGAGTTCTATACACCGCCTAAAGCTACAAAGGTTGTATAACGATGCATAATGAAAAACAAATGAAAGCATTTCACAACAACATTGTTTTCTTATTTTTAGCCACGCAGCGGCGTATTTTGCTTTTTAATATCGGAAGCACGAGAAACTACGGCACTAGAGATGCCCGATCGTGAAAATACCTTTGTACTAAAAGCCGATAATAATATGGAATATGTTATTGAGGCAGAGAGTGCTGACGAAATGCGCAGCTGGTTGGCTACTATACGCTACTGCATGCGTACGCCGCCAACACAGCAATTGCCCTTAGAATCTGCTGATGCATTGGTTACTGGAAGTGGTAGTGTAGGCGGTATAATGGGTGGAATTTCAGCAACAACTTCGATGGCCATGAGCCCGAGTGGCAATTTGACCTCAACAGATGCCAGTGCTAATCGAAGTGGTGGTGGTGCTGCCGTCGGTAGCGGGGTCAACGCTGTGCATAATCCTCAATATCACCAATCAAGCGGACTAGGCTCAAACGGTAATGTCGGTCCTAGCAGTTCTCTGTCGGATAATGCACTTGCTACCGTTAATGCTGCGGGTGTGAGTGCTTCAGCGGCTGCAAGCGGTGATGCTAATGCGCTGGAAAGTATACCGGATATACCACCTCGGCGTGGCGAACAACGTCTTTCAGCATCGAGTAATTTCGAAGCAGAATGTGAAAACGAAATTGATATAAATGTAGCAGATCTGACAAATGAAATGCGACAGTATCCATGGTTTCATGGTACACTCCCACGCTCGGAAGCGGCGCGTATGGTATTACACTCTGAAGCGGCGGGACATGGTTTCTTTTTGGTGCGACAAAGTGAAACGCGCAAGGGCGAATTCGTGCTCACATTTAACTTTCAAGGACGAGCAAAGCACTTGCGCATGACTTTGTCGGAGAAGGGCCAATGTCGGGTGCAACACTTATGGTTCCCCTCTATACAGGAGATGCTCGAGCACTTCCGGCACAATCCTATACCATTAGAGTCGGGCGGCACCTCTGATGTGACACTAACCGAGTGGGTGCACAATCAGGGCACATCATGCAGCGGTACAAACGATGTTAGCAGCGCTGAAATAAACGGTGGGCATCATCCTCATCATCAACAACAACAACAGCAACAGCATCCATCGCCGAGACATGTGAGATAGCCTAAATTTTGGAGTCCATTCAGTGTCAGTGATGATTTTTATTTGACGTTTTCGTATTTGCGTTTGTATATTTCAACGTTCTTTATTTATGTTGATAATAACATTCAACAGAACACCATTAAATTTGCAACTAATTTAATAGTGTCTAACAGTGTAATAGATATGAACTTAAATACAGACCTATAATTTGAGTTGAATATTTGAGAAGAAAAAACTTACGAATTTGATGGTAGCTTTAGTTTTAAGTTTAGTAATGATAAGTAACGTTTCCTTATTGTTTTTTGTTTAGTATTTTATCTATTTTACACCATAATTGGCACAATTTTTTTTTTTTTGTTAATAGATACTATTTTCCATATGCAAAAGTATAGTTTATAACTACATATGTTTTGTATTCAAAATCCTTCTTACGTTTAGTTGCATGGATCTGAATCATCAGCTTTCCACAACAAAACCAAACAATACTAACACCAGTCGCACGCAATGTGTTCGTGTCACGTATTCCAAATCAAAGTGCCATGTCTTTTCTTTTCTTCCTATTCTTCCATGCCACTTTGCTTTTGCCACATTATGGGCGGAGAGTAGCCGCAGCAAATAATCACAATGAACATGAGTGTACGCCTAAAATCCTGCGAAATTGAGTTACCGTTCCTACAACAAACGCAACAACAACAGCAGCAACAGCAGGCGGCACATTCACATCAGCATTATCAGCCGCAGCAGCTGCAGCAACAACAACAACAATTGCAACAAAATACCCAACAATTACGCGCATCAACAATTTCACTACAATCTCAGGTAAGAGTTTTTCATGCTATGTGGATATGAAACTGAGCCGAGCTGTATGCATAACTCGTAGGCCACCGACAGTCGGGTCTATGTGTAGTGGAGCAACTTATATTTATTTCTGTACAAGAACTGTCATTCCCCAAAACTTGTTTCAAATTTGAAAAAAATAAAAAATAAAAATTACGCTGCAATAAGTAATTTTTTGCATATTAACTCGTTATACAACTCACGGTTTTTAAAGTAACGCTCAGCCGTTTGACAATATGAAGCGTTTTACAAGCGAACAATGCATTTTTATTTTATCAAAGTGGAGAATATTCGGTGGATGCATTATACAAATTTACAAAATGCAAAAATTAAATATTCAGTGTGTTCTTTTTTAAAAAGCTATTACCATTTTCTAAATATGTATTTCTAATTTCAATATTATTATTTTTTTTATTTGCAGAACCTACACTACAGCGGCACTGGCGTGGCTAGCATAAGCGACTTGAATGCAAATGAAATGGGCGCACGCGCCGTCGACAACCAATACAGTTTTGTGTAACTCAATTCCGCTACGAATAAGGTTTTATGTTACGTACATTTGTAGTTATTTGGCCAAGCCGACAAGTATGAAATTAGATTTACATGAATGCATATGTATACAGGAATACTTAAAAAATAATATGTAATGGCTGTTAGCTTAAGTCAGCTGAAAATTTTTTGTGGTATATAATATATAGATATATATACTATACATATGTATGAACCCTGCAAACCAAAGTTCCCGAAATCTTAAGGAAATCGTTAGGAGTATCTCATTTCTGTAGTAAAAGAATGGAAGTGTGCGTAATTTAGTTAATTTTAGAAAATTCGTCAAAAAATCGAATTAAATCTTAACGAATTCTTTAAAATTTCTTTACAATACAGAATACTCTGAAAAAATGGTTTGCAGGGAATATATTTGTCATTGCTCATTGCTTTTCATATGTACAAGTCGTTCTTCCTGAATAGGCATTTTGTGCTCACAATGTTTTCTTTTTCAAAAATAATGAAAATTCATTTTTTTAATATTCCTACTATGTGTTCAAAAACTTCACGAAAAAGTATGTAGATTTATTTAATTATTGTACATATACAAACAAAAAAGCGTATATACACACATACTTAGTTCTGAACTGTAAATGTAAGCATAAAAACGTAGAAGATTTTTTTCTATACATACTAAAGAAAGAAAGCAAACTATGTACATTAAGATCTTTAGTTTTACTAAGTACGACTGTGCGTTGTTTAGATTAAAAAAAAAAAACAATTGTTTATTTTAAGAATTCATCAAAAAAAAAAAAATCAAAGATAAAATGCTTGAAGACTTGTTTTGTTTTGCATTAACAGCCAATAGAATTTTTTCACTGAAATAACTCTCAATTAAGCAATCCACTGGTTATAACAGAAACTGCGCAAAAAAAGAAACTAGGTATGTCAATATTTTTATATCCATACATTTTCAATACACTAAATATTTCTAAAATTTAATTTAATTAAATATCTTACCATCAATTCTGAAGACCTTATTTGAAAAAATTTAAAATTTTACAGGAGAAGCAAAAAAAGTGAAATGTACATAGGAATTGCTTACTGAGCTGATAACAGCCCTATTCCCAATCCAACGTTAAAACTCATCGCATGAATAATGTCTCAAATACTACTCCTAAAATTTAGTTTTCGCGGCGGCCGCCTCAGAATGGCCGATGGTTTTTATGAGAAGGGCAGAAGTACATTCGAATGTTTTGCCTTTGTCTGCTTTGTTTTCTGAATGTTGATGATGATGGATGAGATTAATTAAAGATTTTTGATATTTGGAAAGATTTCAATTTTTATTATGGGTCGATTACGGTTGGTAATCGAGCTTTAGTTGCATTGTCAATAGCTGAAATAGTAGTTATTAATGAGTAGGCAAATAATGTTTAAGAGTTGCTATGTTGGCAATGGCATTTTTGTTGTTACCGCAGACATTTTTTTGAGAAAATGTGTGTTTTTATTCAACTATTTCTGCACCGTGTTCACACAAGTCTTAGTTGCAGTAACCCCAAAATTCAATTATTTTCAAGTATATAGCATTTAAATATGTATACTTACAAACATAAGTATGTAGCTGCTATTCATTATATACATAGATACTTCTTCATTTCTATAGCGTTGCCCATTTGCAGCCCAAAGAAGGTTGCAGTACTATTCATGCTTGATTCATTCGTAATAATAATCTCTCCTAAACTGGATATGTATAAAATTCTATCAGGAACCTTTAATTTGCTTTGAAATTTCAATTATATATATTTCAATTGCCTAGATTCAAAAAAAAAACTACTCGGTTGTTTACACATTGCTTTCAATACCCACAATAGGCTTTTTGTATGACGTACTTCAGAAGCACTTTTGGATGCTGTTCCTTAATTCATAAAATGCAACTTTAATGTATTCATTTCAAGTTAATATCAAATATTGAAGTTCATTTGTAATGCTAATAATGGACTTAAATATGCGGTCGCGGAAATTTTTAATAGAAAAGCACTTCTAGAAGGCATGCGGGTAAGCACTTTGTCATCCCTTCTTGGGTAAAGCGCTTAGAATGGCTTCACTTAAGAAGACCTATCTAGATTATCCTCTAGGATATAATTATCTTAAATCCGATAATCAATGATGTAATGAAACCTTTTGATTCAACGAAACAATGTCAGCCAGTGAAGATTTTAGAGTGCTTTTATTCTTGAACAAGGCTGAATTTTTACGCTAGGCTTTTTGTTTGCCTATGGCTCATTCCACGGTTACAAGTGTGATATTTCCAGTCACATTTTAAGGCTTAATTCTTAAACTGTAATATAAAATTCTTTAAAACGAGTATTTTCTTATAGGTTTGCGAGGTATACACAATGCCTAGAAAGAAAATTCCAAAACAATTATAACTTAGTGCTATTTTTCATTTTTGTATTTCACAACTGCTGTTATTTCAAATTGACTTTGCACATTTCTGCCCGGAAAAAAAGTTCGGGCTGTTTCGGTCACGAAGAAGAAGATATTTATGATCCAAAAGTAGAAGGTATTCACTCTCTATTACCCATTTTTCTAGCGTGGGGAACGCTTTCTGGGGTGTTTTGGGCACCCGAGGGATCCCGCGGTCTCGTGTGGAACAAACCTATCTCTATGATTAGCTTTGTCAGATTAGCAGATGAGTAACGGTAGCAGTCCCTGGCCGAATTTATTAAAATTTGTCACACTTTAAATTGTTACGGGTGTGACATGTGACGGACGTGACCAACATAAGCATTTTTTTTTCGAAAATAAAAGCATATACTTTCGTCAGTTTTTTTACACTGTCCAAGATGTGTTTTCCTTCAAAAAATAAGACCGTTTAAACAATGCAAAAAAGACTACGAAAATCAGTCTTGTCAATTTTGAGCAAAATTAACCTCTCACATGAGTTTGTAAATGGTACAACCTTAAGCAAAAAAAAAAATTGATTTTGAGATACACTGCCGGAACAAAGTATTGGCACAGCAAATTTTTTTACAATATATGCAACAGTTTTCATTTTAATATTTTTCCGATATTTTCGTATAAAAATATGGTTCATTCTACAACAAAATAAAAACATAAAAATATTATTCCTAAACATTGTGGAAAACTCGCGAAAATTCAGCAAATTTTCATGAAAATTTTCAACTTTTTAATCAGATTTTTTTGAGTATGCAGATTTGTAGCCCAATCAATTTTATTATAATAAAGTTCAAGTTTTAAGAGGCTAGGAATTACCGTTGATTTTTGGCTATTTTTTTCACTCAGTCTCTTCCATAGAAAAATTTTTTTTTGAAAATACTTTATATGGAAAAAATGCAAAACACCTTCAAAACAAAAAAAAAAAAATCTCAAAAACTCCGAACTTGAATTTTTTTACTAGAATTTAATGGGCTGCAAACTGCATACTCAAAAAAAATCTGATTACAAAGTTGAAAATTTGCTGAATTTTCGTGAGTTTTGCACAAAGTTTAGGAATTATATTTTTATTTTTATTTTTTTGTTGTTGAATGAACCATATTTTTACGCAAAATTGGCGGAAAAATATTAGAATAAAAATTGTTGCATATATTGTGAAAAATTTGCTGTGCCAATACTTTGTTCCGGCAGTGTATGTAAATTTCGAAATTATTGCTTTTAGTCTTGAAAGTAAGATTTATGTACTCTTACCCATGATAAGAACATAATGTTAATGTTTTTATTATGCTCTTACCTACTAGAAATAATACACTCAAATTCTTAAGTTTATTTTCTTTTCATTCGGTATTGATTACCGTGGAATGAGCCCTATGTAAATCATTTGGTCATAATTTATAGCTGCTTTCAATGTCTTTCGACTTATTAGGCAAGTAATTGTGTAGTGTATATAGTAAGTATGTGTATACATTTGTATACTGAATGCAAAAATCGTTATCCGATAAATGAAAGCAAAAATTATAAATTTTAAGTGGAAAGAATCGAATGTGTGATTTTGTGAAATAACAAAGGTTATACATATGTATGTAGGGCCAAAAAATAAGTGACGGCAACGTCTTGTGGAATTGAATTCTATATATACCGATAATGTTTATATATACAGGATTATTAAAAACATACACACTATATGTAAATGTAAATGTACAATTGGTATATATAAATACATACATATGTACGTATACGTATACACAAATATATGGGAGAACCTATACAGCTTATTAATATATGTATGTCCTATATACATATACTTATGTATGTAGGTATGTAAAATTATATTTGCAGCCATACAAAAATTTTATAAAAACAGAAGCTAATAATTTCTTACTCGCAAAATTGAGCATGCGGTTTTCTTGGTTAATATTCGCTATGTTTTACATGCTAAAAATTGTTTGTTAGTTTGGTGTTAAAATAGGGCTTTTATTTCAGCAAACCCAACTTAAATCCAAGTATGAAACTGTGTACGAAAATTATGTTAAATCCGCTAAGTTTCATAAAAATTGCAAACCGATTGATAAGAGTTTCTAAAAAAATCGTGGGTAGTTTTATAGCCAGTGCACAGTGTAAGTACAATTAACAATTAATGATTTGTTTATTGCTACCACTACAATTAACAGTTGGATAGTTGTAATTGTAGAAAATAACAATTAAATAATTATTAATTGTAGTGGTAGTAATTACCAAATAATTAATTGTTAATTGTGACTTTCTGCAGATAACAATTAATTAGTTTTTAATTGTTTTGAGAATTTCATTAAAAATGAACGGTCAAAAATGCCTACTACATATGTCTAAGAGGTATGCGTTAAGACGTAGAGAATCCGGAATAGGACTGAGAAATGGTGAACTTTGCAGGGTATTGCTGTCAATCCCATCAAGAGAACCCTAGCCTTGTTTACGCGGAAAATAAAATTAGCAAGACCTAGGGTCTGAGACCGGCTATGGTATTCTAGGTATATATAGTTTTAGCCAGACCAATCGCCTCGTGATCTGCTGTAGTATGGTGGCCATATTTCAATACAAAATTAACAAAAATAAATTAGCATGAAAAACATTGCGAATATTTGAAAAAAAAATCCCCGTACACTCATTTTGTGAATAACTGTATACATACTACATACGTAAATATTGCAAGTGGTTAAGGTGCTGTATAATCATAATTGTATAATTATTGCAAATTATTAC